TAATGTCAAATTTAAAACCTCTCTTGGTACTTAATTTATGTTTTCTCCAAATCTATTTATACCATACACAGTTTTTTATTTTTTTCCCCCATACTTTTCTATTAGTTATCTCATACAAAAAATTGGCTCAATCGTTTACTTTCCAGACAGATAACCAAACTGGTTCTTTGTTACTGATGTTTCTCCTCCTATTCTTTTGTCTATTACCTTTCCCCAAATTTTCATACTGTGATTCATAAGTTTTATGACTCTATAATTTCCATACTTTTTAATGTCTCATTTGCCTTTAAATATTGGCTCTATAATACTATTCTTCCATTGTTTTGGCATTTTCCCTTCTTATAGGATTTTATTAAAATGATCCTTCAATCACCTTAGCAACGCCGCCTAATATTTTCCATACATCTATTGTCACTTCATCTGGTCCTACTGATTTATTTATTTTTCATTGATGCCACAGCCTCCCATACCTCTTTCTCGCTAATTAAATCTACCGGTTTTTTGTTCTATAAGATATACTTTAATATCTCTTTTTATTACTGAATGAGGAGTATCCCTCATTCAGTAATTTTTCAAAATACTCCTTGCCCCTTTTTTTCACATCATCATCGTTTGTTAGCACACTTTGATCATCACATTTTATACACCTTACATTGTGATTACCTTTAGACTGTTTTTCTCTTACTTTTTCAAATCTATAATCTATATTTTTCACCTTTCTTTGTTTTTAGCCTATTATACAATTTACCACAACTCTTCACCTTACTTACTGCACACTTGGCTTCTTTACGCTAGTATTCATACTACATCCAATCTTCCCTCATTTTGCTATTTTGCCATACTTTGAACTGCTTTTTCTTACTTTCTATAATTTCTGAACGTTCAACACCCCACCAGCAGGTTTCCTTGTTTCCTGGCATTCTACTCACACCCCTAACCTCACCAACAATCTCCTTTGCAATATTTTTTACACAACTCGCAAATTTATTCCTCACATCATTTATGTCTCCTTTGACATTCCACACTGTTCTATCTATTATCGTCTTTAAAAACTCTTTTTCATTTTCCCTTGTCAATTTTCACCACCGGATCCTTGATTCTCTTCTTGTGTTCTTTCTGCTTTTGTACATTCTCTTCCCGCTACACCACAAGTCCATTACCATCAGTCTATGTTGTGTAGTTATATTCACGTCTGGGATAACTTAATAATTTTTTACTCGCTTTAAACTGACTCTCTCTTCCACATAAAATTATCAATCTGTGATTTATTACTCCCACTCTTATATATTATATAATGTTTTTCCCTCTTTCTAAATTATGTATTAACCATAGCAAGATTATATGATGCTGCGAAATCCTGAATCATTCTTTTTATTAAAACAATATCCTCTATGTAGTCTTTCATATCTTCTCCTCATTTACCGACATGTCTATTCATATCTATACTTATCACTGCATCCTAATTACCAGGTATTCTTTGCATCACTTCATCCATCTCTCTCCAAAATACTTATTTGTCTATTTCATTCTACTTGTAGTGCTTAAGCACTTACACATTCAACATTTTTTCCTCGGATACTAATTTAACGACTATAATTCTGTCACTTTTCCTAACTACTTCTACTATACTACTTTTCATCTCCTTATCCATTATTATCACTATACCTTTCTATGTATTGGTCTTACCTGAGTATATTATTTTATAACCACACCTATTTCCCTTGCTTTTTCTCCCTTTCACTTAGTTTCCTGCAGACAACAAATATTAACTTTTCACTTCTTCAATACTTCTACCAGTTGTTGTTTCAACATTCCACGTACATATTCTTATTTTGTATCTATCTTTCTGCCTTATACATGTTTCAAGCCTATAGTTGAGTGATAATGTCTCTACACCGTTGATACTTCAAGCATTGGGTAGGTCTATATACACGACTGGTGAAACAGCTACCACACAAGTTATCCAGCTGGTATTATATACTTTATTCTTTAGTCCTTCCACGTCTCTAACTACATTATTTCCTCTTGCCTATTGTCCTCGCGTACATCCGAGATGGGACAATCCCCATAAGTTCTGCTCAGAACTCCTCATACTTTTTGACAAAATTGTACACTGGCTGTCGACCTTAAGCAACCTTATTAGTCGCCTCTTACGACTGGCAGTAGGACCGTGGAAATATTTTTATACTCTATCCACAAGTATTATTCATTAATTGAACCCATAAAATTGAAAATAACATAGAAAATAATCTGTTAAAAAATTTTGTTTGATAGTTAAGGTGGCTTTTAATATTTTTGTACAAATTTTATTTTTGTCTTATCATAATTATGATATTATGATATATAATTTTTTTTTATAATATATCACTTGTATTTTATTGTAATGTATTATTCGCATAATACATATATATGCAAAATAATGGCAAACTTAGAGGGGGTCACAGAGGCACATGCCCCCCATTGACTGAGTCATAAAAATATTTTATTAAGCAATGTAATGATGTATAATATCATTAGAAAAAGTTATTTTTTGGTTATCGATAATAACATGGATTTATGAAATATTAGTTGATACAGTTGTCTTGTGGAGCAAAATTTGACACCCGCACAGTTGTCCCGTTAATGTTATCACCTATTTTTAAAGTGTTTATTACGTAGAGATACACATTGTATAAAATGAAATATTTTTATTAATAAAAATGGACTCAAAGCAATTAACAGATTTTTGTTAAAAAATATCTAAAATATATTTTAACAAAAGTTATAAGCAAAAAAAAAAGTCAAATCATGAACATATTTTGTGCCCTCCCATTATACATTTCCAAATACGCCACTGATATAAATTGTATTATTCCTACAATTTACATCCCTGAGTATTGTGTTCAACGATATATTATATTTATTAGTATCATATATTCCTCTTTATTTTTTTGCGTTTAGATAAAAATTTGAATTTATTTAAAATTAATTTCATTAGACATAATTTGACAACGAATATAACTATCACTAATCGATGATAGACCAATGAAGTTTTTGTATTTTATTATCAAGGCAAAGATTGATGACAATGTGTTTTATATTATGAATTTTATTATAAATAGATAGTTATTACACTAAAATTTGCGTATTTATTTCATATTTAAAAACTTTTAGTTCTGGTTGGGTTACTGAAGCTCCCTTGATAATATTATTTAAATTAAAAATAAAAATTAAATTTTAGCAATGAATTCATTGCTATTTGAGCTGTAACCATCCGCACTACATACCCCCTATATACTACATACTCAATATATTTTGATAGTTCTTAACATATTTTTTATGCTGAAATTTAAATACAGATCATATTCAGTATTTATTTATTTAACTAAATACAGAATGACAATTATAATTTAAGTCGTTAAATTGCTAAAAAAACATGTATCTAAAAACAATTTTTTTTTTTTAAGTTTGCATATTCTTATCTAGTTATAAGCTAATTTAACAAAAAAAAATACAATTTAATATATATTTTTTTTATTACAATGTAAAGAAGGTAAAATTTATTATTATTCATTAATCTTATAATTAATATAGTTATTTATTAATGGAGGTAGTACTATAAGGGTAGACGTGAAAAACATACCTGATTTACCTAGTTGCATTGAACATTGCAGTCGTTTTTAGCAGGTGCTTGAAGGTTAACAAGTGTTAATTAAAGCTAGCACCTAAATATCCTAAAATGAACTGGACACTAACCTTATTAGGTGATTAGGTTTTGTTTTCATTTTCGTAAAAAAAGGATTTTGAAATAATAATAACATTATCAAATATTTTATATAAATAAATACTATTTTATATATATTCATGTAAATTAGTTGATGATGACCTTGATGTATATATACGTCAAGGTATATAATATTCTAAAGTATGGCACAATAAAGTTCAATATCGTTACCAAAATGTATAATTTTTTAGCTTTATGGAGTCTAAGATTATAACATAGAACGTATTATAATTGTATAATTAATTTAAAAAATTATAATCGAAAGTATAGTTTTTTTATGAGAAATGACACTCCTACTCAATTTTAAAGATCCAAAATTTGGTTAAGCATGATGAAACAACCAAATTTTACTAAATTCTCATAAAACGTCATAATTTTACAATAAAATTATCGCTTAATTACTAATTAATAATTTTCTCAAATCTAGAAATGATAGAAAAAATCTGAAGCTAGATTCGGAATCAGTGTCAAAATTCCTTTTAGAAATCTTGTAATAATTGTAAACAAGAAAATGGCAAATGTCTACAAAAAGTTTGTCTTATTTTTTTTTGTGTTAATATACCTCAAAATATAGAAAATTATAGTAAATTTAATTTATTATTAATAGGATAAACGATCATGTACTTGCAGGTCTAGATTTTCATTTCTAGTAGGTACAGGCATAAATAAAAAATTAGTAGGTGGGTAAAGTCATGTACCCCGATTACACCATCAAACAAGTCTATTTTTGTACAGAATAAGAAAAAATATATCGCTAATATAATATAGATATACCTCAGTAAATATGAATTCTATAATTCAAATGAAGATAGATAAATAGGTACAGATACTAATTTTGTGATAACATTTAAATTTTAATATTACCTTATTTTTACTATTACACACTTAAGACTTATTAGGATATGTATATTTTATGTAATTAAGTAAATAAAATCGATGTGTTTTTGAAAATTGATGTTAGATAAAAATCAGTTTTATAAATTTGATTCATTTTCATATTATTCACAAGTATAAAGATTTAATAATAATCTATATCTTACAATAGAATTAAAAATAATAAATATAATTTTATTTAAAATAAAATATATTCAGTATTGTTACAGTAATAATCAAATACAATATTCTATACATTTTGATTTTTATCAACTATTAATGAAGTTAATATTAGTACATAGCAATCCATTGGTTGCATTTATTAAAAACAGAATTAATTGTTTTTTTTTTTCAATTATTTCAGTTCATGAAGGCTTCATTGTGCAACAGTCCATTCCTAGATTTGGGTAAGCCTAAATTAATAATCTAAATGTTTATAAAATTAATTTTATCTATTGTTTTTTATAATTCCAGAAATGATGCTGCACCACCAGTATTTGAACAAATTTTTAAAAATGCTAGATTTGCACAAGGTGGGAATGCAGTCTTTGAAGGAAAGGTAACGGGCATTCCTAAACCTTTTGTGTCATGGACCAGAAAAGGGGCTCCTTTATTAGGTAAGTACAATAAAATTACTATTCATTAAAATGCTTAGTGAAATTAGAGATTCTAGTGTAATTATTAAATATGTCCGCTTTAAGTAATTTTCTTTAAACACTAAAAATAAATTTGATTTACATTAAAATGCAACAAGAATAATAAGTTATTTTTTTATCATAACTTATCTGACATATCTAATATATCATATATCATAGCTGTGCACCTATGCATAAAGCAGTTACTATTAAATAAAATGATGCAAAAAAGTGAATCTACAAAAGTAGTGGATGTATCTGGTATTGGTTCAGTGCCTTCAGTTATTTGTAACAAATATCATGGAGTTACAATAATCAACCAAAAATTAGTTGGTGTTTCTGAATTTTGAAAACTAAAAATCACATTAAAAAATAATATTTTTTATATCTCTTAAAAATTAACTTCATAGAGGTACTTTTTTTCAAATAACTAACAATTTAAATTTTTTCCTTAATTATTTTTGATGATTAACTTTTTATAATTTGTTTAAATTATAAAAAATTAAAAATCTCTAAAATAATTTTTAGGAAAAAAATTGTTATAACTTTTTACTGATGAGATTTACTTTTTATGTACTATAAATTATTTATTTATTTTTAATTATTATGGTTAGTAATTTATTTGTTTATTAATATTATATGTCTTAATAATATATTTTTAAATATTTAGAATCTTTCAAGTACCAAATGAGGTATGATCAACAAACGGGGAATGTTGTTCTTACAATTAATCATATTGGACCTGGAGATGAAGGTGAATACACATGTTCTGCTCGCAATCAGTATGGAGAAGCTATTTGCTCTGTTTTTATTCAACCAGAAGGTACAAATAAAATTATATTATCTTAAAAATAACTGGTTCTAAATATTTAATATTTAATATTTGTTATATAGGACATACAGTACAAATACCTCTTAACACCTATGGTTCACAAAGAGTTCAGCAATCACAAAATACTCATTATTCAAATAATTTTCATACATTTGAAGAAGTAATTTAAATAAATTAAAAAATAATTGAATAATTAAAAAAAATTTTTATTTTAAAGGATTTTAAAGTTGATACCTTTGAGTATCGTTTACTTCGTGAAGTTTCTTTCAGACAATCAGTTACCAAAAGATACCTTGGGGAACAAGATGTAAAATTTACTAGTAGTGCTCATCAAGGACCGATTGTAGCACCTCAAGTGTTACAAAAGCCACGTAATTCAAAATTGGTTGAAGGATCAAATGCAACATTTACAGTGAAAGTATCAACAGCAAAAGACTTACGAGTATACAATTATCATATTAATTTTTTATAAGTTGCCCTTTAATTTTGTTTTTTTTCTTAGCTGACATGGTTTAGAAATGGACAAAGGCTTGTTAATGGACCAAAACATCAGATTAATTTTACTAACCAAATAGCTACATTATATATTCCACAAGTACAATGTGAAGATAGCGGACATTACACGTTACTTGTTGAAAATCCACAAGGCTGTGTAGTATCATCTGCATATCTTGCAGTTGAACCAGCTCCAATTATATATGAACATACAGAAGACAAGTAAATTAAATTTTAAGTGTTCTTGTTTTATTATTATTTATAAAGTAACAGATCATTTAATTAAAAAATAAGCTAAATATGATGATAAAAAAATGTAATTAATTTTTTTTATTGTTATTGAACAAAAACAGTTGTACAGTAGGGTTGTGGCATAATTGGGACAAGTATAGATGATATCTAACTGTTATTAAAATCACTATCGTAAGAAACACTTTGATGCAGATCTGTAAATAGTGTTTAATTAAAAAAATTGGTGGATTATTCCAAAAGCAAAATTAACTCCTATTTTTTATTCTAATTTGACAACTTTGATTTATCGATTTAAAAATTGTAATTTTTTGAGGAATTTCGACCATTTACGGGGAATGAGGGGAAAATGTTCAATTTTTGAGGGTAATGTCTTCAACTAGATACAATTTGTGATCTTATAATTGAGAAAAATTGTTCCAGTGATAGTATTGATAGTAGAAATAGTAGACACAAAAAATAAAATAAACACGTCAAGGTTAAATTAATACTTACTCAGTTTCACATCAAAGCTAAAATATTCTAATAACTAAGTTTTTGAAAACATTATATTTGCATGAATTATGTGAAATAAGTTTCAAAAAATATATTTTAAAAAAATCAATGATTTTTATAACAAAAATTTCTTTTATGTCTGTTATTTTTCCATGTATTAGTAAAAAATTGTTAGTAATTTTTATATTGTAGGATAGTTTATAAATTTTTTAAAATGGGAATTATGTTTTTAAATTATAAGAAATAGTTTTAAGATAACTTATTTTAGTATCAAAGTGCAATTTACACTTAATATATTTTTAGAGAAAATATTATAACCAAAACTCATAATAAATTGGAGGCAATAGAACCAGCTGAAGGTAAAGTGTTGGCACCAAACTTTGTTAGAGTTTGTGGTGATCGTGATGTAACTGAAGGAAAAATGACTCGATTTGAAGTTAGAGTAACTGGGAAACCATATCCCGAAGTTAAATGGTATATAAATGGTCGCCCAATTAAGGATGATTCTACACATAAAGTTTTAGTTAATGAGTCTGGTGATCACTCTTTAATGATAACTAATGTATCTCAAACTGATGCAGGTCAAGTTGTCTGTGTTGCCCAAAGCAAATCAGGAGAAACATCTTTCCAAGTAATAAAAATGTTCTATATATTATTAGAATTAATGTTAACTCAAAATATAAAATAGTTTTGAAAAAATCTATCTAACTAGTCAATAACAACTTTTAGAACTAAGATATTTAAAAATGCACTGCATTTAGTCATAACCCAAATTGAACAAAATATTTAGAGGGAGTATAACTGAATTTCTCCCCTACTTAAAAGTATTACTTTTTAAATTTATATTAATTTTTCAGATTTTTTAGAGGGTCTGTGATAGAATTAAGGGGAGCTAGGTTTCTTGTAGATTCCTGATTTAGTACACTCAGTAATTTAGTTTAGGATCTTAATATTACTTTGATATTGAATTATGGAGAGTTGAGATTATTTTTTAATAATATTTTATTTTTATAAATTATTTTTGAGGTTTAAATTAAAAAGAACAAAACTATACATAAAATTCTCTTCTTCAAAAAAGTAGTAATAATTAAAAAACATATTTAAATTCTGTTAATTAACAAATTATGTAGCAAGATATTAAAACAATGAATTATTATGAACTTATGAAGATGTAAATAATTATATAGTAAATACCAATGCTTATGTATTGAGACAAACTCATTAATTAATCTATTAACAAAAGTTTAATACTTATTTTTAAGTAAATAAAATAAAATTTAAAACATTAATAATATAGATTTATGTTGTTCTTAAAATTTAAAATATGGCTAAAGTTAGCATATTATTTTTGTGTAGTGTAAATTAGGTGTCATTGAAAGGGAGTTAGTTGTAGCTCCAAAGTTTGTTCAACGTTTTGCTCCTGTCAATGTGAATGAAGGAGAACCAGTAACATTGAGTGTAAGAGCAGTGGGCACACCTATACCAAGAATCACATGGCAAAAGGTATGATTTAAATTAAATTAGGAAAGCAAGAAGGTATATAGGTTATAATGATACATGTACTATATAAGCTTTGAAAAATATAAAAATGATAGATATAATATTAAAAATTTCATTTTATAATTTTTTTAGGATGGTGTAATGATTAATGAAATACCTGGAAAGGTATCTCTTTGGACTGAAGGAGGGGGATCAGTGTTAGAAATTGCACATGCTTCTCTAGCAGATGCTGGTTGGTATCAATGTACAGCTCAAAATACTGCTGGATCAACAGCTACTAGGGCTCGTTTAAATGTTATAAGAAAACCACAACCAAGTGACTATGAAGATCGGCGACTTAAATTTCCAAAACCAACAAGAGTTATTAAACCAGAGTAAGTCATTTTTGTTTAAATCATTACAATGTTATACTTCAAAATAATATGATACATTAAATACAAAAAAAAGAAATAAAAATTCAGCAGCTTTTAATTTTTAGCATAATGGAGATATTTTTATTTTAAGTAAACTCAATTTAACTTAATATATCTTTTGTTCATTTAGCGACTAACTAATATATATTTGATATTTTTCATTAAATACTTTTTTTTTTTTAATAAAATTGGAAATTTAAAAAAAAAAAATTTTTTATTAGTTTAAAAAACTTAGTATAATCAGGATGCGTTATAGAAAGGACAAGTATAGATGTATCTGACTGTGATTAATAGTATCATCATAAAAATAATGGTAGCACAGTGTGGTCGTGGCATAGTTAGAACAATTTTTTGCCATTAAAAAAAAAACCATTTTTGCGCCGATTTCAAATCTGCAATTAAAGTTTTGCATATCCTTCTAATTAATATAACAAATATTTGTTTGTTGATGTATGAATAATCAATAAATATATTTTAATTAAAAAAACACGTAACAAGCAGAATTTATTATATGCAATATATCAATATAAATAATTATTTAAACACCAAGAGTTGCATAGAATTTATTACTAAGACTTATATCTAAATAAATTATTACAATAAAAATACAAAAAATAGTGATTTTAATGAAATTTTGAGTTTTTCTCAAAAAAATAAGCTAAAAATATCATTTTGAATTGAATTTTCGCACGCATTATTTTTAACATATTATAAATCAATAAATAAATTGATAAAAAAAAATATTTTTAATTATGTTTTTCATGTGTTTCTAATAAGTAATAATCTTAGAAAAAAAGATGATAGAAAAAATCTAGTTTCAGATTTGAAATCAGCATTAACACAAGTAAAATATATATTGGTCTATAATCATTAAAAAATATTCTATTTTAGTGATTTGATTTTACTGTGTAATTCAGTATAAAAACAAATTTTATACTCCTATTAATCTGGTGATATTTAATTAAAAAAAGTTTTTTTGAAGTGGCTATTTTTTACAGTAGTGTGATTTTGAGATATTTAAACATGACAATACAGAGTGATCCATTTAACATTGACCAGCAAATATCTTATCTTATCTAATATGTGTCTTTACGAGCCATCATAACCGCTGCAATTAACTACCTGTATTACAATTCTACCCGTTTTATACATATATATAGGTAAAAAAAATCAAAACTTTAAAGTGAAATAACATGCAAACTAATCAACTTAAATGAAAAATTCAAACGCTAAAAATTATAAAAAAAAAAAACTCTATCAATATATCTAACTAAAAATATATGTTTCCATTTGAAAAAAAAAAGTTGGTACCCTTTTAAGGCATAAGGGATGAACCTAAAAATTATCTGATCATGGATAAATGTAGAGTTTTATGTAACTAAAATAATTAAAAAAAAAAATTATTAAAATAATAAATAGTTTTTGAGATATTTGCTGGTCAATGTTAAATGGATCACCCTGTAGAACATTTTCAAAAGTTAAGTGGACTTTTGTAAAAAAGTTGTTATTTTGAATCCCTCCCTGTGAGCAGGTAAACGATCAGATTTTCAAAAAATTGATATCAAATGAAAGGGAAATACTTCAGATGTTTATGTACAAAAACTATTTTTTTCGTTCATTTTTCAATAATTTATGGCAATTTTTAGAAAAAAACTCGAAAAAAATATCAAAATTTACAGTTTTTAAAAATTGTAATGTTTTGTAGAATTATCACTATGTACGGAGAACGAAGGAAATATATTCAATTTTTGAGGGTAATGTCTTCAACTAGTTACAATTTGTGATCTTTTGATGTATTGTTGTGAAAAATCGGTCTAGTGAGAGCCGAGAAAAAGTAGTGACAGACACAAAAAAAAAAAAAAAAAAACATAGTACAATTAATATTTTCTCAGTTTCACATGGAAGCCTAAAATACTTTGGTAGATAGTGTTTAATTTTTTAAAGGAAATGTTGCATTATACAAATTTTATGATTTATAAGTAAGTTAAAATTTAATTGAAATTATACAGAGTGTTCAGTGTATGGAACATATCAATTGTTATAAACAATGAGAACAAAAGAAACTCGTTGCCTTACAAACTGAACACTCTATATATGTCATAAGCCATTAGAACATTTTTTCGGAATGGAAAGCCCCTTTAATATACATATTAGATTAATATTAAATGTGGTAAAAATTTTCTCAGAAAATATTTATAATAAACACTTTAAGCTTACCTATTTAATTTAATTTTATTAAGTGGAAAGAGTGGGTTAATGGTAGTACTCGACTCCCTATTTTATATGATAATACTATTTGACCAAAAAATAATTTAAAAAAATAATAATCAATGTAAAACATTACAAAAAAAAAGGCGATTTTTTACATATAAATAACATTTGTTTAGCTTTGGGAGCCTTTTACACAAAGAAAGAAAGTTGTTGGAATAAATTTTTTTTTTAACATATAGTATACTATTTATAATTTAACATATGTGATAAAAAACACAGTATTTCCTCAACAATTTAAAAATTAAGTTTAAAATGTTATAATTTCATACAAAAGTTGTTAATTTGAATTCCTCCTGTGGTCAGTGAAAGGGTGAGATATTCAAAAAAATATTCTTAAAGAAAGGGAAATACCTAAGGTATTAATAAAAAAAAATTGTTTTGATTCATCCAATTTTTAAAAATTTGACAGTTTTAAGGAAAATTTTTTTTTTAAATTGTAACTTTTTTGATAATTTCCTGCATTTACAGGAATGGAAAAATGTTTTTAATTTTTTGAAATTGTCTTCAACTATATACAATATATGATCTTATAATCTAATATATCATTAAAATAAATTCATCCTGTAAGAGCTGAAAAAAGTGAATACAAAAAGAAAAGTACACATAATAGTAAAATAAATTGAATAAAATAAAATGCAATAAAACTTATACCTTTTTTAATTAACATAGAAGTTAAAAAAAAATTTTTTTAACACCTTAAAATTAGAGATTGTCAGACCTTGTACTTCATAATTTTGGAATCAATTCTCATATATCCTTAAACCTTGTTTCACTATTAATAATATAATTTAATGATATTGTGTATTGAAAGCTGTATAAAAAATAAATTGTCATAAATCTATAGAAAGATTTATGTTCCATTTATGTCTAGTAATACTATAAATTTTTTCAAACTATTGAATTTATGTATTTAAATATTTAGATCTGAGCCTGAACCTGAAGTGGTCTTCTTAAAACATGTTGAAAGAGCTAAACCTCAAGCTCCAAAAGTTGAAGAAGATAGAATTTATCCTCCACCACGATTTATTGTTCCATTGGCTAATATATTACAAAATGAAGATGCACGTATTCATTTTGAAGCTAGAATTGAACCTGTTGGTGATCCAACAATGGTTGTAGAGTGGTTTGTTAATGATTATCCATTAAAAGCTAGTAAGTGTTTATAAGATTTCAATTAGTTTATTTCTTTGAATACTATTGGTTGTTTATTCAAACAGGTTCCAGAATAACAACTTTATTTAATTATGGATTCATAGCTTTAGACATATTAAGTATTATACAGGAAGATATGGGAGAATATACTTGTAGAGTGACAAGTAGTTCTGGAACAGCTCAATCTTCTGCTGTACTTAATGTTCAAGGTATATCATTTTTCTATTCTTTTTTATACAATTATCCATCTTATATCCGTATAAATTGTTTATTGTTCCATACAATTATTCTACAAAAAAAAGCAAAAAGCTTTATACTACCCAATAATATTTTTATATAATTTCTTTCAGCTCGAGATGAAATTGATAAATCTAGTCAATATCCTGAAAGCTTACAGTACATTGAACAATTAGAGGATTATTCCAAGTATCAACGAACTGATAGCTATGATGAAGCTCAGCCTATACCACCTACATTTGTACGACCTCTTCGTGACTTAGGTGATTTGCAAGAAGGAAGGAATGCTCACTTTGAAGCCCAGCTTAATCCTGTGAGTGATCCTACAATGAAAGTTGAGTGGTATAAAGATGGAAAATCGATAACAGCAAGTAAGATGTTATTATTTGGAATAATCTAAAAATTATATACTCAAGAATTTGCACATAAATATTAAATAATAAAATTTTAGGTTCACGTATAACTTCTATTTTTAACTTTGGGTATGTGTCCTTAAATATTATGCATCTTCGTGCTGAAGATAGTGGTGAATACACATTACGTGCCATCAATAGATGGGGTGAAATTATAAGCAGAGCTAAACTTAATGTTATCGGTAATGATTTGCTTACACTTTATTGAAAAATGATAACCAATTTTTTTCTTTTATTATTGAAGCTTTTAGCAACAACACAGGTGATTTAGGATATCCAGAGCAACAAAGATATATTGAAGAAACTCAGGCTTTAGAGCAATCTTATCAACAACATAAAAATCATGAGTCTGTTGTACCAGAAAGTGTTGCTCCTCCGCAATTTAAAACTCCCATTAAAGATCAAATTAATATCAAAGAGGGTAGTTTTGCACACTTTGAAGCAAGATTAGAGCCGTTGGGAGATTCAACTTTACAAGTAGAGTGGCTAAAAGATGGAAAACCTGTTGAAGCTAGTAATAATAGTTGTGCTTTTCAGTAATATTAACATTTTTTAATGACTTATTTTTCAGGCTCACGTATGACTGTTTTCTTTAATTTTGGCTATGTTGCATTGACGATTAAGCATGTAACTTCATTTGATATTGGAACATTTACATGCAGAGCTTTTAATAATCTGGGTGATGCATCAACATCAGCAGCATTGACTGTTCTTACACGAAAAGATGTTGTCAAAGATAGCCAACATCCTGGGGGAATAGAGAAATTTCAATATTTGGAAGAATCTAAGTATATAATAAAAAACATAAATTGAATCATACAAAATCTTTTTCATTACAATTGAATTCATTACAGAAAAAATAAGCGTAAAGCGGAAGAAGAGACTATAATTACTCAAAAGCCTAAATTCCTTGGTCCATTAAAAGGTACAAACAAAATAGCTGAAGGCCAAAGAGCTCATTTTGAAGTTCGAGTCGAACCACAAAATGATGTCACTATGAAAGTAATTATATTTTAACAAATTAATTTTGTTTTGATTTTTAATTTCGTTCTGTTTTAATAGATTGAATGGTATTTCAATGGTCGTTCGTTAATGAGTGCTAATAGAATTCAAACTTACCATGACTTTGGTTATGTAGCTTTGGATATACTTGGGGTGCGAGCAGATGATTCTGGAACATATGTAGTTGTAGCTAGAAATGCTATTGGAGAAGCTCAATTATCTACAACTATGCAAGTTGAAGGTATATGTTTGTAATAAGAAATTAAATAGGAGTAAAGTTAATACTTAAAATAATTATTTTTACAGTTCGAGCCAATATTGATACAACTTCTATGCATCGTGGAGTTATAGAAAAAGCTCCATATCTTGAAGCTAAAAAGTTTACTGAGCCTCAGTATGATATTGAAGAAATATCCAAATCAAAACCAATTTTTATTCAGCCATTATGTGATCCGCAGCCAGTAAATGAAGGTAAAAATATTCATTTAGAATGTCGTCTTGAACCTATGGGAGATCCAACTATGCGTGTGGAATGGTTTCAGAATGGAAAACCAGTGACAGTTGGTAAGTTAATTTGAAATTTATGATAATTTTATGTCTTAAATTTTTTTTTTTTTTTTTTTCAGAAAATATCTTACTATTTTATGTTTACAATATTTGATTTTTGTTCTTGATCCTGATTTATTATTCTTTACTATAGGTTCACGGTTTCGTACTTATTACGATTTTGGTTATGTAGCATTGGATATTATTCATGTAACATCAATAGATTCGGGAGAGTACACTGTTAGAGCTACAAACCATTTAGGATCTGCTCATACATCAGCATGTGTTAATGTGAGTTTTATAATTTACTTTATTACAAACATTTCTTAACTAATAATAAATTAATAGGTTTTATGTCGGTCTGGAATTTTGACTGAGAGTCAGAATGAATATGCTTTGGAACAAATACAGTTATTAGAAAATACTTCAAGATATCAGCATAAAATGGTAATTGACGAAGAAAGTGTTATGCAAGCTCCTCAATTCACTAAACCATTACACAATATACAAACCATGGAAGGTACTAATGTTCATTTAGAATGTAGATTAAAGCCGGTTGGTGATTCAGCTATGAAAGTTGATTGGCTTGTAAATGGTTATCCTGTAAAAACTGGACATAGATTCCGACCAGCTTATGATTTTGATTATGTTGCGTTGGATATTTTGAGTGTGTATCCTGAAGACTCTGGTATATATACTTGTCAAGCAAGAAATGAAATGGGCGAAGCTGTGACTTCTAGTTCAGTTAAAGTTAGAGCCAAAAAAGATTTAATATTAGATTCTCAAAATCCTAGTGGTTTGCAAAAGATTCAATACTTAGAAGATTCATCTAAATATAAGAAAGCAGAAATGGTTGATGAAGAAGTTAAAATAAAACCTCATTTTTTGACTAAACCAAAAAATGTTGAAAATTTAAAAGAAAGGCAGCATGCACATTTTGAATGTAAACTAGAACCAGTTACTGATTCTAATCTTAAAGTTGAATGGTTTAAAAATGGAAAACCAATAATAATAGGTAAATTAGACTTTTTCATAGTAAACTCTGAAATTAATAGGTTTATTAAATAGGTCACAGATTCAGACCAATCCATGATTTTGGGTATGTTGCATTAGATATAATTGACGTGATTGAAGAAGATTCAGGAACGTATACATGTCGTGCTATTAATTTATTAGGTTCTGATGAAACTAATTGTCATTTATCATGTAGAGGTAATGCAGAGGTTTTATTTTAAACATTTTAAGTACATTTATTTTTTTAATTTTATTTAAGGTTCATCAGCTGTAGTTACTGAACCACAAAATGAAATGGGAATTGAACAAATACAATATCTTGAAGAGCGTGCCAGGTATCATAGACGAGAAGATGTGGAAGAAACAACTACACAAGCACCAATATTTACTACATCTTTAAAAAATTGTGATATCAAAGAAGGTCAAAGAGCTCATTTTGAGTGTAGACTTATACCAGTGTCTGATAGTACAATGAAAGTTGAGTGGTTCCATAATAATACCCCAATAAAATTTGGATCACGATTTACTGAAACAAATAATTTTGGATTTGTTGCTCTGGATATTCTTCAATGTTTACCTGAAGATTCTGGTATTTACACTTGTCGGGCTACTAATATACTAGGACAATCCATTACCTCTGGAAATCTTAATGTGCAATGTATGTTATAATATTATTTAAATAAGTATTGAAAATATTTAAATGTTTATATTTTTTATTACAGCAAGAAAATCAATTTATCTGGAATCACAGCATCAAGAAGCTTTGAGCCGTTTATCTCAACTTGAAAATAGTAATCGTTACCAACGTTCTTCAGTTATTGAAGATGTAGTTACACAAGCTCCAGTTTTTACTCAACCAATGAGAAATTTAAAAACAGTTGAAAGTCAATCCGCTCATTTTGAAGCCAGATTAATACCTGTTGGTGACGATAAGCTTAGAGTAGAATGGTTGAGAAATGGAATTGCTATTCAAGCATGTATGTATAATATTAATTAAAAGTGAAATAAGTTATTATAATTTAATTTTATGCAATTATAATAATATGTTTCAAGACCAGATAATTTAATTGTTATCATTCTCTATAAATTAAGTAAAAAAAAAAACCCAGCACAGTGTGGTTGCGGTACCCAAATTTTTTTCAATTTTTAAGGGTGATGTTTTCGACTAGATATGATTTGTGATCTTTTGACGTATTGTTGAAAGAAATTGGTTCAGTGAGAGCTGAGAAAAATGTGGTAACAGACAAAAAAAAAAAAGAAATTAAAATAAAATCCCCACATAGTAAAGCTTTGCATCAAAGCTAAAGAGGTTAATGAAAAAGTATAAAAATATAATAAATAGTCCAAAATCAGACTTTAAAAATTAAATTATGAAAACTTTTATTCTTTGAACACTATAATAAAATGATTTATTAGTTTAACTGCCATTCAATTTATTTGATAGCTAATCGAGTGACAACTATGCATGATTTTGGTTATGTTGCTTTAAATCTCAAATATGTGTACCCAGAAGACTCAGGTACTTACACTTGTCGTGCTGTCAATGAATTAGGACAAGCAGTCACTTCAGCTACATTAGATGTACAATGTGAGAAAATTTTTTTTACTAAATTATTTTAATATAATTTGTGTGCGGGGTGATCAATCAAAGATAAAACACTCATTTTCACAGAATCTATTCAAAATTTCAAATTTTCATAAAATAAAAAATCGTCTGATAAAAAACACTCTAGAATATATGTTGTTAAATAATTTTGTTTTTATCCCTTCTGGAATAAAATATCTAAACTTTAATTTTCTTTAATAGGAACTGTTACTTTTAGTTTAATGATTTGATAGGAAATAAATTAAAAATAATTTTGCTTTAATAATTTTTTTTTTATCCTATGTTCATCTGTTACAGCATTTTAGTACATAGAGTGGATATATTCTATCATATCATCAAACTAAATACTATTCTATCAAAATATCAGATTCTCATTAAAGAAAATTTAAGTTTAAATATTTTATTCTCAAAGGGACACAAACAAAATTATTTAACTACTTATAATTGTAGAATTTTTTGAATCAAACAATATTTTTCTTTACAAAAATTGAAAATATTCAATAGTTTCTAAAACAATGAATATTTTATTCATAATTGACCACTGTATACAAGTTATATAATTTAAAATATTGAGATTTTCATATTATGATCATAAATTAAAAATGTTTTAATCATTAACTAAATTATTATTACAGCAAAGGATTCTCTTCAATTAGAGAGTCAACATGAGGCAACATTGGCTAAACTAAGACAGCTTGAAGAACATAGTAAATATCAACGGTTTGAAGAAAAGGAAATTGAAGTGACTGAAGCTCCCAAATTCATTGTTGCTTTAAATGGAACTGAATATATAATGGAAGGCCAAAGTGCACATTATGAATGTCGCATAGAACCATATCCAGATAATACATTAAAATTAGAATGGTTACATAATGAAAAACCATTACAAACTGGACATCGATTTAGAACTACATATGATTTTGGGTTTGCATCTTTAGATGTTTTATCAGCCTTACCAGAAGATTCTGGAGAATATATTTGTAGAGCAATAAATAAAATTGGTCAAGCAGAATCTTCTGTAAAATTAGCAGTGCAATCACGGGCTTCTATTATAAATGAAACTCAGCACAAAGAAGCTTTACAAAAGATACAGTACTTGGAGGATGATTCAAGGTATAAGCGAGCTGCTGCTGAAGAAGTACTTTCTACTGAAAAACCTCAATTTGGAAGACCACTTAAAAATGTGGAACATCTTCCAGAAGGTAAAAGTGTACACCTTGAAGCAACATTGATTCCTGTAAATGATCCAACCATGAAAGTAGAATGGTTCAGAAACGGAATACCAATTCCACAAGGTCATAGATTCAAGACAACTTATGATTTTGGATTTGTTGCTTTGGATGTACTATATGCATACCCAGAAGATTCGGGCACTTATATGTGCAAAGCTAAAAATGCTTCTGGAGAAGCAGTAACAACTTGTATTGTTACAGTTGACTGTAAGATAAAATTTGATTATTTATTTAGTATTGAAAAATAAGTCTTTTCATTAATAAATTAATTTTTCTAGCTAAGGAAGGACTTCAGCTAGAAACATTAGATGAGGACAGATTGAAAAAAATAAGACAACTAGAAACTTATGAAAGACCAATTGCTCAAGAAGCTGAATTGGAATTACAAAAACCAGTATTTCTAACACCATTAAATAAGTATTTTTTAGTCTCCTAATATTTAATTATTTTTTAATTAAAATTCATGGTTATATCTAGTCTTCAATTGAAGGAAGGAGAACATGCACATTTAGAAACAAGAATAGAACCAATTAATGATGCAGATTTAAAAATTGAATGGTTTGTAAATGGTGTTTCAATTAAAACAGGTCACAGATTCAAAACTACTCATGATTTTGGTTATGTTGCTCTTGATATTCTTTATGCTTATGGAGAAGAATCTGGTACTTATATGTGTAAAGCAACCAATAAAAAGGGAGAAGCTGTCAATACTTGTCAAATTAATGTTGCTTGTAAGTTTATATTTTTTTGTTTGTATTCAATTAGATTTCTTGATATTTTTTATAGCTCGTAGAAGTATTTATCTTGAAACTCAACACCCTGATGGTCTTGAAAAGATTCGTGAACTTGAAGCTCAAGGACATCCAGCTAAGCTTGAAATTGCTGAACCACCACCAATGGCACCAATATTAACGCAACTTTGGGTTTGTATTAAAATTTAATTTAAATCATTAAAATTCGTAAATTTAATGAAAAATTAAGTATAAATATAAACTAATTAATATCATTTAAATATTTTTGTAATATCAATTATTATTTCAGAGGAAAATAAATTAAAATTATATAATATTACATTAAAAAAAAAAAAAAATGACAATATGTAACAAAAATTACACTAATTAATTCTATTTTTTCTTTAAAAAAAATCCGTACTTAGGAAATATCTGGATATTTGAATTAATGATGTATAACATGGAATTTTCTTATATTTGGATACCTTATTTGAATGATTTAATGAAAGTTTCAAAGCCATTAAATTATTAAAAAAAGTAAAAATCTTATCCAAATGATTGTGACTCCTAAATAAAATTTAGAGTAATTTAATATACTGGTTTTAAACTATTTATATTGTAATGAAATTGCTGTGCAAAATGTGTTTGAAATTTTTTTAATGAATAGTACTATTTTAGGGCACTACTGAAGTAGCTGAAGGAAAAACAGCCCATTTTGAGTGTCAAGTTAAACCAATACATGATTCAAATTTAAAAATAGAATTTTTCCACAATGACAAACCACTTGGTTCGGCTTCTCGTTTTCATACTACCCATGACTTTGGATATATTTCATTAGATATTGGCCATGTGGTGCCTGAAGATAAAGGAAAATACACCGTAAAAGCTACCAATGCTCTAGGACAAGCTATATCAACTATTAATCTAACTGTTAATGGTAAAATTATTTTATTTTTTTAAATTCTAAGATATCATTATTAATTGAGATTTGCCAGAGCTAAAGAAGTTAATGATATTAAAAAAAAAAACAACCGAAAAATACAAAACTTAAAAGTTTAACTAACATTGTTTTAAGTATGTCATAATACAAAGCAAACCACAAAAGAAAGTGAGAATGATAATACGAAAATGATGATGATGATTACTTTGCTTAGATATTCACATTTGTGTGATTATATAGTAGTTGCCATGCTCGGCTGACAATCTGGATTGGCTGTGGGTGTTGAAAAGTCGTTGTTATAGGAAGGGAATAAGAGTAATAATAAATAATAACACCTAGATATGAAGTGCAGACAAAATAAAAAACATAAATACTAAGTGTACCTAAAAGTAGCCTAAATTATGAGATGAAAATGAAATGCATGACACAAGTACTTCAATGGGAGAAACAGGGGTTTGATTTGTGTAAGACACAAATACTGGGCGTACCAGATAAGGAAGATAATAGAGTATGAAGTGCAAGACACAAGTACTTTGAAAATGTAGAGGACAAAATTAGGTAAGAGTAAAGGGTGTCAAAAGAAATGAACAAAGACTTGACTTTATATAATTAACTGGGCAACAACAACCGAGTACTAGGACTGATGAATGACACAAAGCATAAGGCTACGTATTGGAGTTGATAGTAGCGTTTCTGTCTGTGGTTCATTTTATATTTTCTCAAAGATTTAATGTTATTCATTAATGGTTTGGTAAACTAATTACATTGAAAAGATAGCATTTTTAAAAATTTAACCTCAAGTATCTTTGAATCAATTTTTTTTACTTTGTTCCCTTCAGCTCTCAGTACTTCAAATACTAAACTGATAATTGTCAGTCATTATTATAGTAATTAAAATTAAAACTAATTTTAATTATTATAACTATAGTTACTTTTATGTGTGATTTCAGGCAGTGAAAGTATTATTTTAGATTCTCAAAGACCTGAAGGCTTAGAAAAAATAAAGGAACTTGAATTAGCAGTACCGTTTAAACGACCTGATTATCCTGAACCAATAACTAAACAAAGACCAATGTTTACTCAACCTTTACAAAATATAGATTATATTAGTGAAGGCCAAACAGCTCATTTTGAATGTCGTCTTATACCCGTAGGAGATGCAACTATGACAGTTGAATGGTTCAGAAATGGACAACCACTTGAAACAAGTATAAAAACATATATATATATTAGCATAACCCTCAAAAATCAAATGTCTAATTTTTTACACAGCCCCTTACTTTTTTTTTTTAATGCTCATAAAAATGAGCTGTGCACAATTTGGGATTGATCCGTTAAGGTTAATCTATACCCAGAACTCTTAAATTGAGTTGATGAGGAAATTTTTATAGAAATAACTGATCTATGTTTCATAACTTTTTTTTTGCTTAATTTAGAAAGTAATACTCATGTAAAAAATTTTTATAAGAAATTCAAAAATACGTTATAACTGATTATCTTTATTTTTACTTATTTATTTTTCGAAAAAAGCTTATTTATTAAAAAAATAATGTCTAAAAGTTTAATTTTTTATTTCAAATATGATAATTATACTAGATTTATTGTAAAATTGCCAGTTAATTATTTAAATTTTTTATATTATTATATTTTTTCATTAAAGGATATAATTTATTTTTTATATCAGTTATTTCTATTAAAATTGCCTCATCAATTCAACTTAGAAGATTCGAGATTATGTGTTAACCTTAACCGATCAGTCCCAAATTGTGCACAGCTCAATTTTATGAGCAAAAAAAAAAAATTAAGGGGCAGTGTAAACAAAATATTTGATTTTATTACTCTAAGATATATACATATATTAATGAAATGACAACAAAAAATTGGCTGTATTATAAGAACTTCAGTCTACTAAAACATCTATAAATTATAACCTGGAGCATTCTAAGAATTTTTTCTAGGGTGGGGGATGTTCATGGATAATTTTTTTACTGTTTCGTCTAACAAAAAAATTCAAATCATCACCACATAATTAACATAATTATCCAAAAAATACTTTGAGGCATCTATGTTTAGATATCAATTTTTATTAAGAAAGAAAAATTGAAATAATGCTTTTATACATAACATTAAAATAAAAAAAAAAAGTTAAAAATTTTAACCATTACTAAAGTTTTAGTTAACATCATTTCCCTTTACATTCATCAATGGAAGTCATATAATAGTATTTTCTTTTGAGTTAATCTTCCCTATATTTTATGACATCTATTACATTTAATTTTAGTTCTTAGTTTTACTATTTTTGTTATTAAAATCATAGGCTCACGAATTACAAAATCAAATGATTTTGGCTTTATATCACTCAATATTTCTCATGTCAGAGATGATGATAATGGAGTGTACAGTTGCAAAGCTATGAATGTGTTAGGAGAAGCTATTACTACCGCCTCTATGCGTGTTAAAAGTAAATATTTTTAACAGAAATAATTTGAGTATTTTAACTCATTGTAAATATATTTCATTTACCAATTAGCTAAAGATGATATTCAGCTAGAGAGTCAACATCCAGAAGGATTAAAAAAAATTGTTGAATTGGAACGAGGAACAGAACCTTTAAAACGAGATGAGAAAGAAAGATTATTTGAAAAACCTATATTTACTCAACTTCTCACTGGACCCTCTGAGCTTGTAGAAGGTCAACATGCTCATTTTGAGTGTCGTGTGGTCCCAGTTGGTGACCCCACTTTACGTTTTGAGTGGTATGTTAATGGAGTTGAGCTTAAAATGGGTAAATATTGATAAAATAATATTTTTGTATTAGAACAACTTAAAAAATTGTTTAACTACATTTAGGATCAAGATTTCATGTTACCCATGATTTTGGTTTTGTGACATTAGATATAACTGCAACAGTTGCTGATGATTCTGGTGTTTACACATGTAAAGCGATTAATAAAGCTGGAGAAGCTATATCTTCAACATCATTGAAAATTAGAGGCAAGTTAAAAAAACTTTCTAATTAAATTACTTTTTCTGTTATGAAATTATTTTGATGTAATGAAGGTGTTTCAGATCAAACTCATAATTTTTAAAACTTTTGATCTAGTTAATATTTATCATAAGTTAAAATTATTGAATCAAGAAAAATATGGAACTAAAAAATACTAAAAAGAATTCTTTCCATTTAATATATATATTAGATTAATATTAAAAGTAGCAATATTCTCCCTGAAAATACTTATAACTAACACTTAAAACATTTTTGTGATTTTTTTTTGTAAAAGGGGGTTTAATAAGTTGAATATCACCTCCCTTTTGTAGGACTAATACTATACTGTTTAACCTAATGGAAAAACAAATTAATTGAAAAAAAAGAAAATTATAACATTACAAAAATTGGTAATTATTTACACCAAAATAACATTTTTTGTAAATAATAAATTTGTTTTAGCTTCGATGGGAAGCGGAGAAGGTATTAATTTTACTATGATGTGTTTTTTTTTTATGTCTGTTGCCACTTTTTCTCAGCTCTCACTGGACCGATTTCTTTCAAAAATACGTCAAAAGATCACAAATCGTATCTAGTTGAAGACATTACCCTTAAAAATTGAAAAAAATTCCCTCGTTCCCCGCAAATGGGGGAAATATCCAAAAAAATTACAAATTTAAAAATCGCTAATTTTCGAAATTTTTTCACTTTTTTTTCTTAAAACATCCATAACTTTTTGAAAAATCAACAAATCAACATAATTTTTTTTTATACTAAAACCTTAAATATCTACCTTTCATTTGATATCATTTTTTTTTAATTTATAGTTAGTACCATAAGATTTAATTTAACGTAACTTAAAGCTTGAAGTATTTTCAAAAATTAAATTGGAAACATTAACTTTTCATACAAAAATTGAATTTAATAAATTTTTTTTTACTAAAAAATTTTTTTCTATTTTGGACTAATTTATAATTATATTTTTTACAATTTGTTTTTAATAAGTAAAATAAAATAAAATTTTAAATGGATTGCACATACACCATTACGAGCTGTACTCACCTACTCTATGTATTAGAAAGCTTGTAACTTCATTTAAGCACATACTTTAAAACTGTTGTTGACTCATTAGCATTTTTGTAAAAATTAAAAGATAGCTATTTTAAAATTTAAAATTGTATATATTTATGTATGTATATTTATTAATTTATTTAGACCGTTCATCAATTATCCAAGAACCTTTGCAACCAGAATCTTGGGAAAAAATTCAATTGAAAGAAGCTGAAATGAACAAAGTACCAGAAATGTTTATTGATACAAGACCTCAGCAAGTTCCTGTATTTACAAGCCATTTACAAAACCAAGACCATCTGGTTGAGGGCCAACATGTTCATTTAGAAGCTCAAGTAGAACCTAGAGCTGATTCTAATTTAAGAATTGAGTGGTTTAAAAATGGTTTAGCATTGACAACTGGTAAGAGCTATAAAATCAAAAATTTAAGTTACAAAATATAAAGTATTAATTTGAGTAAAATTAAAACTATATTAAAAATATTATTAATTTAAAAAAACTAAAAAATATTAAAAATATTAAACTCAAAAGCCACAAAAAAATTAATGAAAAGTCGCGGATACGTATTTCGGAAACAATGTTACCATTATCAACGCTAAACACA